AACAGAGACAAGGAAGGACACTACATCCTTATAAAGGAAACAATGCAAGAGGAAGGCATGACAATCATAAATATATATGAAACAAAAACCTAACTACATAAAACAAATACTAACTGACATGAAAAATCATACAAGCACTAATACAGTAGTAGTGAGGGACCTCAATACCCCACTGTCACAAATAGATAGATAAACCAGTCAAAAAATAAGCATCAAAATACTAGAACTCAATCAAACTCTTGAACAAATGAACTTAACAGATGTTTATAGAGTGATCCATCCCACAAAATCAGAATACACATTCTTCTCAGCTGCACATGGGTCGTTCTCCAAAACAGAGCACATCCTTGCTCATAGAACATGTTTAAGTAAGTGCAAAGGAATTGAAGATATCCTCTATATATTATCAGACCATAGTGTGATGAAATTGGAGATCAATAGCAAAAGAAACTGCAAGAATTCCATAAACACATGGAAATTGAACAATACACTTCTGAAAAATCAATGGCTCACAGAGGAAATCAAACAGTTCCTACAATTGAATGACAATGACAATACAACATATCAGAATCTATGAGACACAATGAAAGCTATCTTACGAGGGTATTCATAGCAGTGAATACTCATTAAGAAAACATAGCAAGCCCAATTAAACAAACTGATGCTGAACCTCAAGCTTCTAGAAGAAGAAGAGCAGGAAAAACCCAAAGCTCATACAAGGGAGGAAATTATAAAGATCAGAGCAGAAATCAATGCAATGGAGACTAAGAAAATGATCCAAAAAATTAATAAAACCAAGAGTTGTTTCTTCAAAAGAATAAACAAAATCAACAAACCTTTAGCCGACCGTATCAGAAAAACAAAAGAAAAGGCCCAAATCCATGCAATTAGGAATGCAAAGGATGAAATTACACCAGACCCAGCAGAAATCCAGAGGATCATCAATACCTACTTCAAGAATGTATACACCAATAAGATGGAAAACACAGAAGAAATGGACAAATTCCTAGATACATATGAATTACCAAAGTTGAACAAAGAAGACCTAAAAATTCCAAACAACCCAATATCAATCAATGAAATTGAAAACATAGTTAAAAACTTGCCAACTAAGAAAAGCTCAGGTCCTGATGGCTTCACCGCTGAATTCTATAAGACATTTAGAGAGGAACTGCTGCCACTATTGTTTAAACTCTTCAGTGAAATTGAAAGGGAAGAAATACTCCCAAATTCATTCCTGGAAGCAAGCATCACCTTGATCCCCAAAGGAGAGAAAGACCCAACCGAAAAGGCGAACTATAGGCCAATCTCACTAATGAACATAGATTCAAAAATCCTTAATAAGATACTGTCAAATAGAATGCACAAGATCATCAAGAATATTGTATACCCTGACCAGGTGGGATTTGTCCCAGGGATGTAGAGATCGTTCAAAATATGCAAATCAATAAATGTATCTAAATAAACCCAAGGACAAAAACCATATGATCACCTCAATAGATGCAGAGAAAGCATTTGACAAAATCCAACATGCATTTATCATAAAAAAAAAACCCTACAAAAAATTGGAATAGAGAGTCTCTACCTCAACCTCATAAAAGCCAGCCATGAAAAGCCAACAGCCAATATCACACTAAATGGTCAAAAACTGAAATCCTTCACACTAAAATCAGGAACAAGTCAAGGATGTCATCCACTATCACCACTCCGGTTCAATACAGTTTTGGAAATATTAGCCTTAGCAATTAGGTAAGAGAAAGAAATAAAAGGAATAAAGATAGGAAATGAAGAAGGCAAATTGTCATTATTTGCAGATGACATGATACTGTATATAGAGGACCCCAAGAACCTCACCAAAAGTCTTCTAGACTTAATAACCAAAGTCAGTCAAGTAGCTGGTTACAAGGTCAACACACAAAAATCAATAGCTTTTCACTACACAAACAACAGACTTACTGAGAGAGAAACAGGACAAGCAATTAGTTTCACAATAGCATCCAAAAAACTGAAATACCTAGAATCAACCTAATAAAAGAAATCAAAGACCTTATCTGAAAACTATAGCACTCTGAAAAGAGAGATTGTAGATGATATCAGAAAATGGAAAGACATTCCTCACTTCTGGGTAAGAAGAATCAACATTGTGAAAATGGCCATGCTTCCAAAACTCCTCTATAGATTCAATGCAATCCCAATTGAAATTCCAGCAGCATATTTCATCGACCTTGAGAAAATAATCCAAAAATTCATTTGGAACATGAAGAGACCTAGAATAACAAAAGCAATTCTAGGCAACAGAGACATGGCAGCAGGTATCACAACCCCCAACTTGAAAATATACTACAAAGCTACTGTGATAAAAACAACATGGTACTGGCAAAGAAACAGACCTGCGGACCAGTGGAACAGATTAGAAGATGCAGAAACAACTCCAGACACACTCAGCCACCTCATGTTTGACAAAGGAGCCAAACACCCTCACTGGAGGAAAGATAGTCTCTTTAATAAATGGTGCTGGAGAAATTGGGTTCCAACTTGCCAAAGACTAAAACTAGACCTATATCTCTCACCATGCACTAAACTAAAATCAAAATGGATTAAAGATCTAAATATAAAAACTGAAATGCTGAACTATCTGGAACAGAGCTTAGGTAGAACTCTTGAATACATTGGGATAGGAAAACACTTTATGAACAAAACCTCAGTTGCCCATGAACTAGCACAAACAATCAACAAGTGGGATCTCTTCTTATTAAAAGGCTTCTGCACAGCAAGAGAAACCACCAAAAGTGTGAAGAGACAACCCACAATGTGGGAAAAAAATCTTCACCTGCTTTTCCTCAAACAAAGGTCTACTATCTCAAATCTATATAGAATTTATAAAGATCAGACCTCCCAAATTTAAGGACCCAATCTGAAAATGGGCATCTGA